GGCAGGTACGTATTCACCGCATGGGCATGAAGACACACACATGTCAAGTCAACGGATGTCTGTTCTGTGTGTACGCCCACTGATGGATTGCAGAGGACGACGAGCGGCCTGAGGTCGACAATGAGGCGCCGGAGATCGCTGAGGTGGTGGTCCAGCAGCAGGCCCAGCAGCAGCAGGGCGAGCAGCAGCAGGACCAGCAGGACCAAGAGGAGCAGGCGCCAGAGGCCGTTGGATGGGCTCCGGGAGTGGTCATAGCGAGGGTGCGCGCATCATCAGTGTGTCCATACGTACACACACTTATTGTGGCTTCCTGCTGTGTTGTGTCAGCGCGTCATGAAGAAGACAATTGGCTACAGAGTGGTGGTTCGTGAGCGACACACATGAGTGGATGGATGGACTGATCTGTGTCCGCATCTCGCGCTTTCTGTTTGTCTCTGTGTGCCTGGTGTGTCAGGCGGTCGTGCCCTCGCCCAGTCGCCCGCCCACCATCCTGAGACACAGCTGGCTGACGCAGCCGGTGGGTGAATGGATGGCCGTCAGGGAGGAGGTCTTCATGAGGGATCTCCCTGGTCCGTTGTGTGTTGTCAGTCGCTGCCGCTGCCCACCTTGACGCCGCCGGTCGCTCACCACCGCCGTGAGATGCACTCACCGTAGACATATACACATACGAGTGCGGCGAATAAGGCGGACAGACACTTAATTGTGTGTTGACTGACCTTTGCTGTTGACCGACCGTGTGCAGGGACAAGCGTCAAGGCCGCCTGCTGCCGCTGATCACTCGCTCACTCCACCGATCCCGCCCTCACTCACTCACTGCCTGCCTGCCTGCCTGACTCACTGTGTGGTCAGCACCTGCCTGCGGTTTCTCGGTGTCTCTCAGTCTGCCGCTCTCTCCCTCCCTGTGACGCGTGTGCGGGTGATGCATGGTGGGTGATGCTTGGTGTGGTTGGGGAAATTGGGTCAAGGCCATGGAGAGGGCGCACACACACACACACACAAACACACTCACACGCATTGGGCTGGTCGAGTGGATGGGTAAGTGGGTGGATCCAGATTTGGCTCGTGAGATGCGTGCTCTTGGTGAATGTGGTGCGATTGGACGACGACTGGCCGCCTCGATTGACTCCTTCCTCTCGGCTGGCTGGCTGCCTGCCTGCCTCGGTGGCTGGTCGATTGGTTCATCCATCCATCCATCCATTCATCCGTTCTTCCCTTCCTTCATCTGTTCATCTTTTGGCCTTTTGTGTCTCTATGACACAAAAGCAATCACACAGGCCAGTCAGGACGAATCAATGAAGGACAGGAAGGGTGGTGCGTGCAAAGTGTGGACACCGAAGGGGCCGAGGGGAAAGCAGGGGAGAGTGCGTGTGGTGTGCCGTGTGTGCGGGTATGTGTGTATGGATCGATGCTGCGTCGAGATTTGGAGCCTATGCCTCACCCACCCACCCACCCACTGCTTCCGAGCTTCCGAGCCCATACCCACCATTTTGCTGCCCGTCTGTCTCTCTGTCTGTCTGCCTGCCCAACGAACGAACAAAGAGTCTGCCTGCTGCATGCTGATGAGTGGCTGACGTGGGCCACACTCACACACACACACGCATTGGGCTGGTCTAGTGGATGGGTAAGTGGATGCAGATTTGGCTCGTGAGATGAACACATACAGACAAACGTACGTCTTCTCTTTCCCATGGATGGACAGGCGAATCGCTGGGGCGAGCATCTGTCTGTGAGTGGTTGATTGCTTTGGCTATGGCGGGGCTGAGTGAGTGCAGTTTTGGCTGACAGGGAGGGAGTAGGTACTGTTTCTGCTGCTGCACACAGACAGAGAGCGAAAGGGACGGTCTCTTTTTCCCTGCTGCAACTAACCGACAGGTTCGTGTGGTGTGGGCATGCCCGTCGGGTGTGGGCGTCCGTCTGGCTGGATTTGCTCGTGCATTTGGACCCGAGTGTGGCATACCTTTGCTAATCGGACTGGTCAATTCGGGCTGGGCGTTAGTAGACAGGGAAAGGGGATGTGAGCAAGACAAGCCACGCAAAGAAGTGGGTGGTGAGTGAGTGGGTAGTGAGTGAGTGAGTGGGCATCGATACGTTCGTGAGTGATCAATTGGGTGGGTAAGTGCTTCGTGAGATGAACCACAGACAGACAAGCCAAGGGGTCTTGCATGACATCTATGTGGACACGCCTTTGTGTGCGGCGGGGGCGGGCGTCTATTTTCTGGCTGGACGAGTTGGTCGACTGCTTTGGTTTGAGAGGGAATAGGGAAAGGGCCGCCGGCTCCATGTCTCGATTGGCGTGGACATTCATTGGTTGGAGGGGCCTGCAGGTCGATACAAGACAGATTTGGCTGAGGGAGAGGGAAAGGGGAGCTGTCATGTGTGTGGATGGATGAACCAGACATAGACGGGGGGACAGCACGGCCTCTTTTTGCCGTGCGTGTTCACGTCTCTTCTTGCCGTCCGTTTGTGGTTGGCGGCGGTCACCTCTTGGCGGCTGGATGGGTCGATAGCCGCGGGCGTGGCGGGTGTCCCACTTGCCGGTTTCTCGGTGTCTGTCAGTCTGCCGGCCCCTCCCTCCTTGATTTTTCGCAGTGTGCCGTGGGGGGCGTGTCGAGTGGACGGATGGGATGGATGGCATGGGAGCCATGCCATGAGGCTTGTGGATGGATGACGATGATCGTACGAGTGTGTTCTCCTGGCTGGATGCTAAGACTGTCGGTGCCTGGATGGATGGATGTGTTAGTTGATGTGATCGCTCGGCCTTTTGCTTTGTTTTGTGTGTGCTGTTGATGTGTGATGTCATCGATCAATGGAATGGTGAATATATATGGCTGGCTGACTATCGGGGAGAGAGGGGCATAAGTTATCCGTCCACCCACCACACATCATGCAGTCACCACCACCCCAGCCACCATCACCCCGTTACTCACTTCCTAATCCCTACTGACTCGTCTCCCCCAATTCGTACGTACGTCCATCGAATGCTATCTATCTCATGGCTGACTGGATCGGGTCATGACATCTATATATTCTTGATGGAGGGAGGGAGGGAGGGAGGGATGGGCAGGCAGCATAACGAGGTGGCGTGGCGTGGTGTGGTCTGTTGGTTGGTCTTTCGTCACTCATGCAACGCACATACATCCACACGACAGACACACGTGTCAGTCAGTCAGGAGTAGTGCACTGCACTCCACTCCATACTGACGTACGTACGTATCTATGTGTGCGTAGGTAAGTTCGTGTGTGTACTCCACGGATGGACGCACGTCTCTATCGAAGGAGTGAAGGAGTGAGTGAGGTGTCCACTCCAGTCCACACCACACCACATCTCGCTCTCTCTACCCCTCTATCTCTACCTATATCTCGGCTGCATGGCCGCAAGATTGCTGTGGGATGGATGCCTTGATTCTTGATTCTCGTGACTGCCAAACGGACCTTTGGGCTGTCTGTCTCGGCCGCCCCAGCCAGCGCAGACCTGGACACACCACACCACACCGTCACTGTGTGAGTTGGTTGGCCTGTGTGCGGGGCGGGGGGCGACTGAGATGACTTTTCTTGTTGCACAAGCGTGACTCGCGTGAGAGATTGCTACTCTGGACACACACATACACACACGTACTCAAAGCTTTGAGTGCCTGGACGGATGGCGGGACTGACGGACGGGAGGGGCGATTGGTGTGTTGTCTGTCTGGCTGGTTTGTGCACATGCACACATACATACGTGCGTCGCTCGGGTTTTCTCTCTGTCTGTCCCTACTTTTCTACCACCCCCACCCCCATCCATCACACACAGCTATAGATGTGTCCCACGTGTGGCTGAGGATGGGCCAAAGTTAGGCCGGCTGTCAGTGAGTGCGATCTGGTCACGATTGATGCACACATCCATCATCCATCCACCTATGCCTGGCGGGAGACAGGACAGGGTGTTGTTGGTCATCTTTTGGGGCCACACAATGGATGCCGTGCAGTCGACGTGCGTGACTGATTGATGGATGAATGGAGTATGTATACGTATGCTGGGTGCACAGACAATCACAAGAGAGAGCCTTGCTTGGACCACTCTGATGACGGCTGCTTGGCTGGCTACACATACGCGCGTATGTGTGGGTGTGGCCTGCGTGTGTGTGCAATGAGGATTCGGGTCCGTGTGGATGGACTGATGTGGACGTCAACTCAAGTGTGGCGTCCTGACATGCCTTTGTTTGTAATTGCCACACACACACCCACACACAGAGGTCTGGGGCCGCTCATCACTACGGGAGCTAGCTACCGGCAGACAGGATGAGTGTGTGTGTGTTCATGTGCGGTGTGAGTGGTGGCTCGCCAGCCACTGAGTGACCGAATAGACACGACCTGACCTGCTCTTCACTTCACTTCACGTGCCGCACAGCAATAGATACCAAACCGGTAGACAGACTAGCTCTTGCATTCCTGAAAGTGAGTCGCTTGGCTGGGTTATGTGTGTCTGTCCGCCTGCGGGCCTTCCTGCCTCTCTGTCTTGCTCTCGTTTATGCGTGGCAGGGTGGATGATCACCGCAGTGCCTCGTCCCCATTTTGCGTGTGTGTGTGTGTGTGTGAGGCCGGCTATCTGTCTGACTCGCCGGCCAGCGACCGCGTGACCTCCTTGACCGACCGGCCGATTGATGCACACCTTAGCTGCAGATATGTATGTATGTGATCCCTCCCATCTTTCCTCTCACTTGCTGCCTCGCTCAGCGACTGACTGACTGACTGACTGCGTGGCTGTGGTGCACCCACGTGATGACCTTTTGAAGACGTGTGTGGCGATGAATGCTGTTGCCCTCATTGATCGACACACACCCAACACCCACACACACATAACCTGACCGGTTCCACACACACTGATTTGCTGTCATATACCTGTAATGGTGGCCTGTGCACTCAGTGACCTGACGGCGCGACTGCGTAACCGACTGGCTGGGTGACTGGGTGAATGGGTGGACTGCACGGTGTGCTCATTTGCCTTACCTGATGCACACACACCGACACACAGACATCCACGTCATCGGCTGACACGCTGTGTGTGCACCACATACGCCATTTCTAGACTGACTGCCTGGCCCTCGACTGCACTAGTTACATGATCAGTGCGAGTAGCTGACCTTCACTGCTGCTGTGTCCTGTATGTTTGCCTGCTGTTGACAACTTAAGTTCTCTACACCATGAACATTTTGCGGACTTGTCCTCCGATCTGTCCACTGCCGCGTGAGGCGTGTATATGTCGATGCATGAGGGCCTGACGCTCTGCGAAATCCTTTGGAGTCGAACTGATTTATCCGCATATGGATGGCGAACAAAGAAAGACCGCAGACGAGCCACAGGCAAGAGGGCAGCCACGCCTCCCACTTGCAGTACGCTCCTATTTCGGGCCATATCTTGCCCAGATGGGGCACAAAGCTTTGGATGGCCCTCATCAGTGCCGAAATTGGGGGTAGGGGGGCGAAGGGGAAAGGAGGCGAGAATGTAAATTCTCGACGACGGAGACGCGCGACAGAAATCTTTTACGCCAGCTCCAATTTGCTTCCATTCCAGCCTCGTTGCCCTCTCCCGCTCACCGCTCCCTTCCTTTGTGTTCGGTTTGTGTCGCCTTCCTCGTTGCACCACCGCATTCGCCCCGCCTCGGCCTCCCATGGCCCTCCCTACCCGCCGTTTCTCTCGTGGCCACTCGTGACTTGTGCCCTCGTCGAGCGTCTCCCTCCGCCCTCGGCTCGCCAGTGAAGGGCGACAATGCCCCGCTGGTGTCGGCACGCTCGTGCAAGAGGCGCTCTTTTGTTGGTCAGTCGGCCAACCACCTCTCGGTGACAGGTGAGTGGATAAGTGCGCGAGTTGATGACTGCAAGTGCGCTGACATGTGTACGGGCTGTGTAGGGTGTGAGCAGCCTGCACGCCCCTGCAAATCGTGTCTCCCCATGGTATCCGACTTGGAATTTTCAACGTTGTCGTCTTTTCTCATCAGATTTCAAGACAGCCCGTCTCTCGCCGTCGACGCCGACTCGTGGATCGCAGGAGACAATCAGACAGATACCTTCCCTCGGTATGTTGCTCAAGGCCTCCTCCGCCGCCGCCTGAGACGGGAGACGAAAAGAAAGAGGTTCTTGTCTCGCTTCGTTGTCTTCTTCGTCTTTCTCTTCAGATAGCACCGTCGGCCTACCGGATTCCAGGCTGTTGGTCCCCTTGCCGTGCTGCTCTTCTCTGCGGTGATGCCGTTCAACTCCGTACAGGATATGGAGGTCATGAGGGATGGTCAGATGGGGCAAACTTGAGGGATGGCGAGAATGTAAATTCTCGACGACGGAGACGCGCGACAGAAATCTTTTACGCCAGCTCCAATTCGCTTCGATTCCAGCCTCGTTGCCCTCTCCCGCTCACCGCTCCCTTCCTTTGTGTTCGGTTTGTGTCGCCTCCCTCAGTGCCCCACCGGATTCGCCCCGCCTCGGCCTGCCACGCCCCTCCTTGGCCGTCCGTTCCCTCGTGACCACTCGCCACTGGCGCCCTCGTCGGCAGCCGTCCTCCTCCCTCGGCTTACCAGCGACGGGTGGCAGTGCCCCGCTGGTGTCGGCACGCTCGTGCGAGAGGCGCTCTTTCGTTGGTCAGTCGGCCAACCACCTCTCAGTGACAGGTAAGTGGATGAGTGGTCGAGTCGATGAGTGCGAGTGCGCTGACATGTGTATGCGCTGTGTAGGATGTAAGCCACCTGCACGCCCTTGCAAATGGTGTCTCCCCATGGTATCCGGCATGGAATTTTCAATGTTGTCGTCTTTTTCAGATTTCAAGACATCCCGCTCCCCGCCGATGTCGAATAAAATGAGGATTGGGAGCAGATGTTTGGTCGTAAAAGACAGTCAGGCAAGCGCTTTGCCTTGGTAGGTTGCCCGCCGCTTCCTCCCGCCGCTTTTGGAGACGGGAGACGAAAAGAAAGAGGTTCTTGTCTCCGTTCGTTGTCTTCTCTGTCTTTTCCTTCAGACAGCAACGCCGGCCCACATGTTTTCACGCTGTTGGACCCCTTGCCGTGCTGGTCTTCCCTGCGGTGAAGCCGTCAACCCTCCGAATACTGAGGTCTTATCGCAGAGAGAGAGAGAGGAAGCGCGGCGTCTAGCGGCGTCCCGTACGGTATCGGCAAAAACGTTCTGTTCTGTCTCTGCTGGCTTGTTGTAGGCTACTCATCTCTCGCGAGACCTCATTGAAGCCGTCAACCCTCCGAATACTGAGGTCTTATGCATATGAGGTCATATCTGACGGGGAGAGAGAGAGAGAGAGAGAGAGAAGTGTGGCGTCCTGACTTCCTTATCCGACAAAACCGTTCTATTCTGTCTCTGGCTTCCTGCAGACTTCTCATCGTCACCACGCGACACGCCCGGTGCATCGCGGAATCAACGAGAAATGAGGCGAAACGGGCAATCAGGCGAGAAATAATTCTCGACAGACACGCGACAAACCGTTTTGTTTATCTATCTGTTAATCGCTCCAAACCGCTTCCATTTCAGCTTCACTGCCTCCTCCCTTCGCCTCTCTTCATTCCCCTGCAGTAAGTTTACGTGGGGCCTGGTAGTTGGGGCCGTGGGCCTTCCGTTTGGTCACGATTCCGTGTTGCTTTTCAGACGACGTCGAAGCCCAAAAAGGATTCTCGCCCTCGCCCTCATCCAACATGGACCCCCAGCGCCACTAAGATGGCGACTGAGAGAGCGACGTTACCCTCGGCACTGCACTTGTCTTTTTTTTGTTGACTTCAGATGCAGCCCAAGCTCGATAGCGGGAGCCAGCCAACGGACAGCTCTGTGAGGGAAGGAAAGGGCCAGCCAACGGACAGCTCTGTGAGGGAAGGAAAGGCAGACGGGGTCCATTCCTTCTTCATCCCTATCCTGTATGTGTGGTCATTCGTGCGTTGCGTCCAGGTGGAGCGTTATGAGGCCTACGCGCCAACATAGTGTTTGATGCGCACGACCGCCCAAAGCTGGTGGACTTCGAACTGGTGCAGTTCTTCACCCCACAAAAGGTGAGTGGATGGAGTGTCTGTCTGTCCAAATATGCTCTCTCCGAGGAAAGCACCGCACCCACTCATGCACGGAGAGGCTTGAGACCATTGTCTCTGTGTGCTCTGTCCCGTCAGCGTGAATCCGACCGGAGTGCCATTCTACATGTCACGAGAGGTATTTGGCCCTTTGGCTGCCAAGTCGGTGAGGCGAACGGTCTGAGGTCAGAGTGTCACACAGCCTGCGGTCGGGGATGCACGACAGCAAACCAGCTTGCACACACATGTGGTTCATCCCTCTTGGTGTGCAGAGCTTATGGCGAGCTGTCAGCGGGGGCTGCGGCCGAGGCGATCCAGGCGTAGCAGGAGGGTACGCACGTACATGCATATGCGGTACACAGACCTGCACTCGTTTGCATCATGAGCTTTACAGGAGTCGTGTGTTTGAGGACAACCAGAGCGACGCAGAGGAGGCCGATGCCGAGAACGGCCAACTTCGAGGAATCAGAAGAGGCTTGTCTGTCAGTACCTGTGCCTTTGTGTGTTTGTCTCGCAGGCATCGTTGAGGTATTCATGGATGGAGCAGGTATGCCACACATGCAGTCATGCCTGAGTGTGTGTGGCGTCTTTCTCTTCTCATCCACACACACACAGCGCTCCCTGTGTGTCGTGTGCTGTTCAAGCAGGTGCAGCACCAGGAAACATTCGAGACCGATGATGCCAAAAAGGACAGCAACGCGGGAAAGGTGCGATGAGCGAGTAGACTAACACTCACAAATGGAAAAGACGGCGTATACTTGTCGGTGTGTGTGGTTTGCAGCTGTCGGTCTTCTCCCAGGCCAGTACGGTGCTACCGCCACACGGCTACTTTCGGCACGGGTCAAGCTTCGTGACGCAAGTACATGTGTCATGTCACCACACCCAACCATGATATGTATGTCGCTCGCCACCCACTGGCTGTGTGTGTGCACTGCAGAAGCAGGGCACTCTGGACAGTATCCCGAGGACTTCCACACCACCACCAAAATGACCATGAGCACCAGCCACGTATGTGCAGTGTGCATCAACACACGCACGTAGTGTACCGTCCCTCTCCCTCTCTCGTGTGGATGTGTTTGCAGGGTCTGCGCGTCCAGACGGTGCCCTTGTTGCCCGGCGGACGCATCGTCAGTGCGGTGAGCGCACCCACACGGGCATACAACTAAAATGAAAATGAATAAATAAATGGACGGATGGATGTGTGTTGTCGCTGCTGTTGCCTGCAGGTGTGTCTGAAGGCGAAGCACTACACCTATGCGCTGCCAGTCCTCGACAAGCCAATACTCGACGTCATGCCCGGGGTATGAAGCTAATGTGCAGACAAATGCGGGCCTCCACATCAATGTGTGTCTTTGTCTGCGTATCGTATGGCAGACACCAATCGAGAGCTTGCTAGTGTACCTGTACGAGGGCGGCCGCATCTACACATTCCTCGAGCGGTTGCGGATGAGAGTCTCATCAAACACGACGTACAAACACAGCACAGCACAGCAGACATAACTAACAGCACAGCACACCCAAGCCAACCACACACATGGCTGGCTATATGATAAATATGGATGCAGGAGTCCCTCCCGACCTCACCAACACACACAGCCGACATGCGCCAAGATCAAGGTGACTGACCCAAGCACACACACCGTGTGCACGTCCTGACCTGATGCTTTCCGCCGGTTGGCGACTGTCTTGTCTTGTCTGTATTTGCAGATGAGTTCGGACAGTGGTTCGAGGACGAGCGGAGGGGGCCCATATGGGCCTACCTCATGAAGGGCGAGAGGGCCCTTTAAGAGCAGGACACCGACAAGGAAGCGGCAGGTATGTGTGCGTGCTGTGGAGTGCAAGAGATTGTCTGTATGGGTATTCTTTTGTGTGACTGTATGCAGGCCACCGCATGGAGCAGGTGCTGGCGTTTGGCGGCATCAAGAAGCACCAACAGGACCAGCGCGGAGCGGGTCAGAGATATGGAGTCCAGCCACACATGACAAACAGTGCACTCGTTGTGGCTGTGTGTGCAGGCCAGGGCGACACCACCAACGACACCACCACCAAGGACAAGCCATCAATGGTTCGGGAACAAAAGAAAATCTGAAACAAGTCGGGTACCCATTGCTGCTGTCTGCGTGTGTTATCGTGTGTGTGCAGGGGGCGATGGGGACGATGTCGACAAAGGTACGTGAGCCAGAATGGCACGAAGGGCATCCAAACACTTTGACGATCGTCCCGTTGTCTCCCATGTGTGCAGGAGTCCCTCCCGGCCTCACCCACAGCCAAGGCCAAGGCCAAGGTATCCACACTCGAGAGAATCAGCAGTGTCGTGACGCACACAAGCACACACATTGCCCCTTTGTGGCCTGTGTGCGGTTGGTTGGGTGCAGCAGGAGCAGCAGCACCGAGGCCAACAAGGTGACATTGGCACGTCTACGCCATTACGGTCAGGCTGATGTGTGTTGTGTCCCTTGTGCATTTACAGCCGAGTTCGCCCGCCACTTTGAGCAGCGCCAAGACCTTCAGGAGGGCGAAGGCGAGGGCGAGCAGCACGACGACGGTGGGTGCGGGGGCAATACATTATCGACGAACGCAGATGTGTTGATGGGAACTGTGTGTGTGTGCGTGGCTGATCCAGGTGAGGAGGCCCGCGAGGTGGCCGCCGAGCAGCAGCGCCGCCACCTGGCCGAGCAGGAGGCGGCCGAGGAGCAGCAGCGACGCGCGATGGCCCACGAGGAGGAGCAGAAGCGGCAGGAGGGTGCGTATGACTGAGTGACCAGACAAGGCCCCAATGTGTGGACAAACACCCTGTCGACATTCTCTGCTCGTGTGGTCTCTGTCTGTCTGTCTGTCTGTCCGTCTGTCTGCAGAGGAGGCGACTGACGAGCAGGACGACCAGCAGCAGCAGGACGACCAGCAGCAGGCGGCCCCCATCATGGTATCATCAACTCGACTGCACACGCGCCTCTCCCCAATTGTCCCTCCCTCCATGTGTGTCGTGTGTCAATCAGATCAACCAGCAACAGCAGCAGCAGGCGGCGCCAGTGCAGCCCAAGGTGTACATGTACCTGTGGGGTCTATCGTGGACAGAGCTGCGGCCGCCCGTGGTGGTGGTGAGCACATTGTGAATGCATCAATGGCTGATGGGCGCGCGCATCAACGCATCTGCTCCCTGCTGTGTGTTGTCAGAGAACCACCAGACGCACAGTCGGCTACCGCCTGCCGGTGGGTGGAGTGACCACAGGAACTGCTCAGCAATGGTGTCCGCATCGCATCTCAGCCATGTTTGTTTCTCGGTGTCTGGTGTCTTGTCTGTCAGGCGGTCGGGCCCGTGCCGATCCACGCCGCTACCCATCGCCGTAAGATGCCCCCTCCACACGCACACACATTGTGTGGGGTAGATTTGTGTCCGTCCCTTCTGTTTACGTCTCTCTGCGAGCAGGTCCGGTGCTGATGAGGGCCTGCTGCCGATGAGTATGCTGTCCTGTGCTGTGCTGTGCTGTGTGGGTGGCTGTCTGCCTGTCTGGCTGGCTGGCTGGCTGTCTGTCTGCTTCCCGCCCTTCTCTCCCTGCCTGACTGACTGACTGACTGACTCACTCACTGCATCCCTCAGTGCGTGGTTTGGTTTGGATGGATGGAAGTCAGCCACATACACATGTATCACACTCACTATCTCAGTCACAAAGGTACGTGAGCCAGAATGGCACGAAGGGCAGCCAAACACTCTGACCATCGTGCCGTTGTCTCCCATGTGTGCAGGAGTCCCTCCCGGCCTCCCCAACAGCCAAGGCCAAGGCCAAGGTATGCACGCTCGAGGGAATCAGCAGTGTCGTGACGCACTCAAACACACACATTGCCCCTTTGTGGCCTGTGTGCGGTTGGTTGGGTGCAGCAGCAGGCCCAGCCGGCCCACCAGCAGCGCCAGCAGGACGAGGAAGACAACGAAGAGGCCGCGGGTACCATTTGAGTGTGCCTGGTCTCAGCGCGCCTGCCTCATGGTCATGCCCTGCCGGTCTGTCGTTTTTTCAGATGAGTTCGCCCGCCACTTCGAGCAGCGGGGAGACCTCCTGCAGGCCGAGGGCGACCAGGACGACAACGGTGGGTGCAGGGGCAATACATTATCGACAAATGCACATTCGTCGATGGGAACTGTGTGTGTGTGCGTGGCTGATCCAGGTGAGGAGGCCCGCTTGATGGCCGCCGAGGAGGAGCAGCGCCGCCTCATGGCCGAGCAGGAGGAGCAGCCCCAGTTAAGTTGGGTCTGTGTGTTGCTGATGCAGCGTTCCAAAAGAAGAAGGCTGGTAAGTCTGAGAGAAACACGAACATCCACATACGGACACGTCTCACGGTGGCGGCTGTCGTGTCTGTCTGCAGACGAGGAGCGGGAGGCGGCCGAGCGCCGCGCGATGGCCGAGGAGCACGAGATGCGCCGCGCCATAGAGCAGGAAAAGCGGCAGGCAGGTACGCATGAGACAGTGACCATATCACAGTTGCATTCCATGTCTCCGTCTGTCTGTGCATTCCGTCTCCCCGTCTGTGTTGCCATTCAGAAGCAAATCGCCGTCTACATTTTATATCCTGTGACTCATATTTCATTCGACTCGCGCCCTCGGCATCTGCGCAGCTGCCCTGTTTGTACCTATGGGATCACGTGCCTGCAGCATGATGGTACGAAGGTGACATTGGCACATGTACGCCATCACGGTCAGGCTGATACGTGTTGTGTCTCTTGTGCATTTGCAGCGGAGTTCGCCGAGCACTTCGAGCGGCGCCAAGACCTCCAGCAGGGCGAGGGCGAGCAGTACGACGACAGTGGGTGCGGGGGCAATACATTATCGACAAACGCAGATGTGTTGATGGGAACACTGTGTGTGTGTGTGTGTGTGGCTGATCCAGGTGAGGAGGCCCGCGAGGTGGCCGAGGGCCTGGCCGGTATGTTTGCCAACACGTGCAGTACATGAATGGG